TTTTTTTTCTCCTAAACATATGTAAATTATATTTTTATATTGATCTACAATTTAAATAAAGAAGTTGAGGCTTTGATAATCAACGTCCTCTCCTAAGAATCCAAAAAAGAGTATTAGTAGAATAATATGTACAACTCTATCATAACTCATTAGTTTCCATGTACTAATTATTATAATTAAATCTTTGTAAGTCTTCTATAAATACACTTGCATATAACTTAATAGGAGGAAATGTAATTATTACACCAAGTAATTGATAAAATCCACTCCAATGCAAAGAGACCAAGTCTCTACTTGGGTGTAAATTAGACTTAAGGGTAGACCGAGTCTTTTTTTTTTGCTGCCACATCAGCAGGACTAAGACTACTTTTGTTTTTGCATTGGAGAATACATTGTTTTAGGCTAGGTCTATTTTTTATGTAGCATACAATTTTTTTGTAATTGAACCAAAAGTATCGTGGATACTCTTAATTGGCATGACTTTGGTGTAATAATTACATTTCCATTTAGGACTTGGTGTAATACTCACACAAGACTAAAAAAGTACAAAAAAAAAAAAAAAAAAAGACTAAAAAAAAATTGTTTATTCATGACTTGGTCGCTGTTTCTTTTTTATGCATTTGATAATTGATTTACTATATTTTATTATTTTACAGGTATATCTTTGGAAAAATTGCACTATTCGTCCATTAATTATACTCACGTTGCACTTTTGTTCTTTAATTGTTTCCGGTTTACAATTGGTACACTAACTTTTTTTTTGGTAATTTTAGTCCAAAATGACATTCCGGTGCTCATTTTCGTCGGAATAGCTGATGTCGCGCCCAGTCAGATCGGAATTTCTATTCTCGGCGTGATGTGGCATGAGGTAGCGCCTAGTCAGATAGGAAAAATTGTACTATTCGTCCACTAACTTTACATTCGTTGCACTTTCGTCCTTTAATTGTTTCCGGTTTACAAAATAAGAAAATAAAAATTTAAAAAAATCAAAAGAAAAATAAAAAGCTTTAAAAAGAAAAGAAAAAATCAAAATCAAAAGAAAAAAATATATATTTTTTTTTTAATTTAATGAAAAACGAAATATTTAATGATTAAATAAAAACAAAATATTTAATAAAAACGAAATAAATTTATAAGGAGTGATAAATATTTTTTATTTAATGATTAGATATTTAATACAAAAACGAAATATTTAATAATAAACAAAAAATATTTTTTATTAAATATTTAATTTTTCATTAAATATTTAACCATTAAATAAAAAATATTTATTAAATATTTATTATTCATGAAAATATTTATTTTGTTTTATATTTCTTTTTTATTAATTTTTTTATTTAAATAAAAAATATTTTTTCATTAAACAAAAAAATGATAAACATTTTTTTATTAAATATTTTACCGTTAAATAAAAAATATTTATTTCTCATTAAACATTTATTTTTTTTTATTTCGTTTTTTATTAATTATTTCGTCTTTAATTTAATAGAAAAATGAATTTTTATTTTAAAAAAAGATATATATTTTTTTTATTTTGTTTAAAATCATCAAACAAAATGATTTTTTGTTAATTAATATTCTTTTTTTTGTTAATTTTTTTATCCACATGCCTTTTCTTGTTCTTTTTAAAGCTTTCTCTTTTTATTTTGATTTTCTTAATATTTTTTTTCTTCTGATTTTATAAATCGGAAATAATTAAAGGACGAAAGTGCAACGAATGTAAAGTTAGTGGACAAATAGTGCAAATTTTCCGATCTGACTAGGCGCCACCTCGTGCCACATCACGCCGAGAATGATATTCCGATCTGACTGGACGCCACATCAGCTATTCCGGCGAAAATGAGCACCGGAATGTCATTTTGGACTAAAATTACCCAAAAAAAAAAGTTAATGTACCAATTGTAAACCGGAAACAATTAAAGGACGAAAGTGCAACGCGGGTATAGTTAGTGGATGTATAGTGAAATTTTTCCGTATATCTTTTTAACTTCTTATTCCCCAACTTCTTTTTGTTCTTTTTCAACTAAATGGTCTTTTCTTTATTTGATTGCTCTTTCATCTAAATGAGTCTCTTATTTATAAAAATAGCAATAATACAAAGATAACGTCTCCTGGTCCGGAAGGGTCCGGGTAAAAAGTCAGCGTCACGGGATAGCGGAAGAGCGGATGCACCAAATATCCGCTTGATTATGATTATTTTTTTTTTTTTTTTCTGGCTTGTATTCCTAACCTATTCTTTCTTTAAGTTTTGGGGAGGTTCTACGGTCCTTTTACTGAACCATTACGTCAGGATTTGACTTGTAACCGTTAGATCAACTATTCATGACGGTTACATGATGATCTAACGGTTACAAATTTCAACGGAATGGTTCCTTAACGGGACTGTAGCATTTTCATAAGTTTTATTATAAATACTAGTACAGTACCCGTGCAATGCACGGGCTGTATAATTTTAGAGAATTTAGGAGAATAATATAATATAATATTTCGTAATTATTAGGATCGAAAAAATTATAATGCGTAGAAACATTTAGAGAAAAAAAAGAGGATTGTTTCGTCACGAAACAATCATATATTATTAAAAACATCCTTGTAAAATGAATAATAAAGTATTTATCTTTTGTGATATCAGATAATGGCATTGTTTGTGAAGTCACGTGGATATCATGAGCATTTTGACGTTTATTTTGTGAATCACGCATAACTGTAGAATGATGTTACGTTCTCTTTTCTGAAAAAAAAAGTAAAATAAAAGTTATGTACATTTACCCATTAATTGAAACAAATAAACATTTTCAAATTTAAATAATATACAATTATGCATTATGCATATGATTTAAAAAAATTAAAACTATTTATCTGTTAAACACATACGACATACTTAATATTAATATTTATATTAATTAATTTTATCTATTATGTATCATAAAATAATTATTGTTTCAAATTAAAATATAATTAAAACTATTTATCTGTTAAACACATACAATATACATTATATTTACATAATTTAAGTTTTTTACTTGTAATATTAACACTCATAATATTTAATAAGTTATATAATTGGACTGACTTATAAAATAATGTTACATATCTATATGGGCCCATAATTTAATTTGCTTTGATTTATTATATATATATTGAATTAAATAAATAATAGAAAAACAACTGAGATATTATTTAATATAGATTGAATGAAATCGTGTGTATGGTGATATTTAATTGATGTAATATGTTCAAGCTTTGTAATGTATTATTTTTGTTTTTGTCATTGCACTACTATGGGATAGAAACATATAAAAAATTTTACAGATTTACATGATAATTGAATTCCATGCAAGATGGGATTCTTTCCTATTAATCTGCCAATTTTTTTTACGTTTACAAAAAATATTGTATATATATATATATTTTATGTACAGATTTGTATTATATGGATTCCATGCAAAATGAGACTCTTTCCAAGGAAAAATTGCACTATTCGTCCACTAATTATACCCTCATTGCACTTTCGTCCTTTAATTGTTTCTGGTTTAGTATTGGTACACTAACTTCTTTTTTTTGGTAATTTTAGTCCAAAAATACATTTCGGTGCTCGTTTTCGCCGGAATAGCTGATGTGGCGCCCAGTCAGATCAGAATTTACATTCTCGGCGTGATGTGGCACGAGGTGACGCCTAGTCAGATCAGAAAAATTGCGCTATTCGTCCACTAACTTTACATTCGTTGCATTTTCGTCCTTTAACTGTTTTCGGTTTACAAAATCAGAAAAAAATATTAAAAAAATCAAACGAAAAATAAAAAGCTTTAAAAGGAAAATAAAAAACCAAAAGAAAAAAGAAAAAAATTTAAATTTTTAGTTTAATAAAAAATGAAATATTTAATGATTAAATAAAAATGAAATATTTAATAAAAACGAAATAAATTTGTAATGAGTGACAAATATTTTTTATTTAATGATTAAGTATTTAATACAAAAATGAAATATTTAACAAAAAATGAAAAATAATTTTTTTATTAAATATTTAATTTTTCATTAATTATTTAACCATTAATAAAAAATATTTATTAAATATTTATTACTCATGAAAATATTTATTTCGTTTTATATTTCTATTTTTTATTAAATATTTTTTTATTTTTTTTTTATTTAAATATAAAATATTTTTTCATTAAACAAAAAAATGATAAATATTTCTTTTTTTTATTAAATATTAACCATTAAATAAAAAATATTTATTTCTCATTAAACATTTACTTTGTTTTTCATTTCATTTTTTATTAATTATTTCGTTTTTAATTAAATAAAAAATGTGTTTTTATTTTTTAAAAAATATTTTTTATTTTGTTTAATTAAAAAAATTATTTTTTTATTAATTAATATTCTTTTTTTTTGGTTAATTTTTTTTATCCACATGTCTTTTCTTTTTCTTTTTAAAGCTTTTTCTTTTTCTTTTGATTTTCTTAATATTTTTTTCTTCTGATTTTGTAAATCGTAAACAATTAAAGGACGAAAGTGCAACAAATGTAAAGTTAGTGGACGAATAGTGCAATTTTTCCGATCTGACTAGGCGCCACCTCGTGCCACATCACGCCGAGAATGGATTTCCGATCTGACTGGGCGCCACATCAGCTATTCCGAGGAAAATGAGCACCGAAATGTCATTTTGGACTAAAATTACCAAAAAAAAAAAAAGTTAGTGTACCAATTGTAAACCGGAAACAATTAAAGGACGAAAGTGCAACGAGTGTATAATTAGTGGACGAATAGTGCAATTTTTCCCTCTTTCCAATTAATCAGCAACTAAATATTTATAGAGATTTTTATGGGATGAATTTTGGTAGGCTGATTTTTTACGTTTACATATTGAATTTTGGGTTCAAACTTTCGAATTTAATGAGATCTGCGCCTATTTTGGAACAAAAAAAAAATATGCATTTATTGTTTTGGCGGCAATTTTTAGCGAGAATCTTTAAGAGGTTATTCTTTTAATATATAGATAGATACTCTAAATCATTAACTTACTTAGTAGGACTCATAAAATGGTTGGATATAAGGAATATATAGTATAATCTAGTCAAAAAAGTTGAAATAAAAGATAAAGGATATATAGATATAGATGTTATGAATAACGCGTACCAACAAATTATTGCAGAGGACAAAGTCCAAAACATATCAAAGTTTATTAATAAAAGCTCTCAGTTCACAAGGAGTGTTGAAAACACTAAACCCACACGTACATTACAACAAAATACTCAGAAAAACAACAAGCCATCACACACACACTGTTTAATATTTATGGCTTAGGATTTTCAACTTTATTGAACAAAATAAACATGCAAAAGTGAACCACATATATATATATCAAACTGAGCCACAATGCTTGTGATAATGGTGATTATCACATGCTAGCCAGATCGTGCGAAGCCCGTACATAAGTAGTAGCCCAGCTGTCCATGTAATAAGAATCTGTAGTGTCCTGTTGCGTGCAATTGAGCGCCTCAAGAGCTGGCCCGATCAACGACTTTTCGACCCTCATTTGAGCCTCTTGTGTGAAATGCATCCCGTCCCAAAATACGTACTCGTCCGGGTTGGAGCAAACGGGTACTCCCTTGTGGCTGCAAAACCTCTTCGGGTCGAAGTTATATTTCCCTCCGATCCCACAACATGTTTTCAATGCACGATTTACTAGATCGGGCCCTGTTAAAATAAGTTAACAAAGTTATAATAATCTAAAATGTTAATAATGATGATAATAATAATAATAAAAAAAAAACTTGCCTATGACTGATGAATTGATAATATATCGCCGGAGGCCGTTATACATGTCGCCGTAAAGTATATGCACGTCCGGATATTCATCTTTGAGCTTCACCATGGCCTTTTTGAGTTGCTTATTTTTCCAAACTGTGAATTTGTTCACTGTCTTCAAACATCCATACTCGTCATACGCGTCTGGATTGTCGGTTTCTAGCGCGGTCAAAATGTACGGGAAGCATCCAAGGGGTCCGTTTCCAGGAATGATCACGCGCTTAGCGCCTAATATGATAGTCTCCTGTTTTCAGTTTACAAAAAAAATAGAAAAAGAACAAGAATTACTTTCTAGAAAAAGAATTGAGGATGGACACGAGTTAATATGTCAACAAACTGTTGTAGCGAAAGATTAGGACATGCATTAGTCTTGAAATTCAATCATTTATTATGCTTGTATAGTAAAATGTGACAAATTTAGTGTTGGTTTATAGTAATACGTACCCTGGCTCGAATAATAAGAGCCCTCACTATAGCCGGCACGTAAGTCCTCACTTCGGCAATAGTCTTTCCTTGAGTCAACGCGTAGCCAATGTCATTGCCTTCAATGTCGCCCATCAAAACCAGAGATTTTCCCATCCATTCCGTACATTCTAATAATATGCAACACTGACGAAAGTTAGAAAAGGGAATCAGGGGTGCGGTCCCACCAAGTGAAGCACACTATAAGAGGACGAGTCTAGGTGCACCATAGTGTGGTTCCATCTCAAAACCCATCACCGTAGCCCACTATGCTTATAAACTAAGCTCATTTACTCTATCAAATCAATGTGGGACGACTCACAAGTAATATTTCAACAAAGAAAAAGCAGACAAATGAACCTATTTGAGATAAATTAAGTAAACTTTGGGTTACCTGATGGTGAATGACAAACATATTTGAGATGTTTTCTAAACCAATGCATTTGTTCGTTAAGAGGAACAGCATATGGTGGAATAACAATGTCGCGTAATTCGAAGAATTTGCGGTGGAGAACCGGGCTTCCTGCCACAGAGAATATCACCCCGTCATAGCTTGCCGCCTTCGATTGACTCATGTTCAGATAGGGTTGAATATTTGGCAGCCCAAAATCCTCAGCTGCAGATTAAATATATAACCATTTGTATTATAAATCTAAGTAATGGTAACAAAACCATAAGCGATATATAGTGAGCATTTTATTGTATGTAATCTCATTTTTTTGTGATATTATATATTGTCATACCACTGAAGTCAAAATCGACGAGGCCGTCCGACCAACGGCCAGTAGGAGAGCCGGGATAAGTCATGCCGTACGGCTTTCGCCCAGCCGGAATAGTGATCTTTGGGAGCACGTGAATGGAGTTGCCGATATCCGTGACCCCATCACCCCAATGGTATAAATAGTCGAAAGGGCAATTCCATCGTTCAGCTGAACTTGTCTCGATCTGTATCGCCAAGTAAAGGCAAACGATTTTGAACACGGTCGAGTGCATTTGGGCCTTCATGCTCGCTTAGTCTATCTTTAAGCTGTAACAATCAAGAGAATGAAAAGATGTTAAACAACATCAAATGAACAAGGATTAAATTGAAGCTTTAATTAGATATATTGTGCTTGTTTGTGTACCTTTGCTAGGAAAATGTGATGGTAAGAAGAAAGTGTGACTGTGGATGCACAAATGAGTGCAGTATTTATAGCCATGCAAGGCATTAATGGGGGGCAAATGAGCCTGCTCGGTTAACAACGGGATTGAGGACAATTTGGTCATTTCGTGTTGCATTGTTTTCTTTTTGTTTTTTTGTGAATGCAACGTGACAAATTTTCTGTATCATTTTCTAATAGTTTGTGCCAAAAAAAAAATGGTTAATTGGCTAATTAATTTTACTTTTCTTTTTTAATAAATGTGATATTCTGTATCCATGCTTTTTTTTTTTTTTTAATGTTCACTACAAGAAAACACTTCAATTCCAACGAAAAATTCCAACGGCAAAAATTTCGGTTGAAATTCCAATGAATATTCCAACAAACTTAATTTTATGTTGGAATAAGTGTTGGATGGTTGAGGAATTCCAACGGATTTTTTCTGTTAGAATAGCTGTAGGAATTTATTTCCGTAGGATTTTTCGTTGGATTTTAGCTATTCCGACGACCATTTTTCCCACGAATTTTTATACGTAGGAATATCCGTTGGAATAACAAATATAAAGAATTCCAACGGAAAATTTCCGTTGGAATGTAAGTGTGTTTTTTGTAGTGGTTTTTATATATTTGACAAAATTTATAGTAATAAATGCCAATAAATTAATTTTATTTAAAATTTTAATCCAACGTTTTAAAAACTATGCACATTCACAAAAATATAAGATGGCCATTTTTAAAAATATTATTATTTAAATATGTTTTTTTTTAAGTGATAGACATATCTAATATCTATGTGTATTTTAGTGTAAACTATTCCATTAATGTGTATACTCAAATTATTTCGATCTTTTTCTTTAATCACATAATTAAGTTTTTCTTAAGTGTTGTCGTATGCTTGAAAATGGCGCAAAATTGCATAAATGTCGTAAAATAATACACTTTGAAGCAAATGTTGCCATATTAGTAAATAAGATGATATTTTGTTAAAAAATTAACATTATTTTATAACAATTTTAAAAATGTGTACGCCACCATATATGTTAATACTATGACAATTTGGTATAAAACACCATAACTTAAGGCACTTTTAAATAAATGTCACAATATGATTAACTTTGTGACACTTTTTTAAAAGTGTCATGATTTTATTAGATTTTCTAAAAACATTATTATTTTATCTTTGTAACGCTTATTTTAGGTTTATGCCACTTTTTAAATGGGGTTACATTAATCTCTATATTAATTACACTTATTATAAAAGTTAATATATTTATGTTGCTAGAAGTCCTTTTTGTTGTAGTAGAATATAGTATATTAGGTTTATATTATTATTAACAAATGAACTAGTGCATATTATATTAAAATTAGAATATCCAGTGCTGCTCTACATTGCAACTTTAAATTAGAGTATTCGAAAAATTTGCTTCAATTTTGTGCTACATTTAGTGCAATATTATTCACCGCACTACAATATCTTTTCTTCAAATTTTAATTTTTTCATTGTTTTTTATAAATATTATTTTGACATGATATACTTCAACAAAATTATTTATTTTATTAAATGATATAAATAAATAAAATTATTTTTTTTCTTCAATATTTTTTTTTTTTTTTTGGT